AAGGTGGTAGAGGTAATTGGTCTACTGATGGTTGTACTACTACAGTTGATTCTGATACTAATGGTACTGTAACATGCTCTTGTAATCACTTGACAAACTTTGCCTGCCTTGTGGTAAGTCAGATAGAGGCAGAGACTAATATGTAGAGTCTTTGGGTTTTATTTATTGCATACATGGGTATATAGAATAAAATTCACAAATTTAATCAGTTTCTGCAGCCATTTTTGTCACTAGATTTATACAAGATTTAATTTTTAAAATTTGGGAAACCTAGATACTATAGTCACTACAAAATGAAGCCCCTCAACTGTATTAGTCATTTTGACTTTAAATAATTTTATAGGATATTTCAACTAGAACTGGTAATCTTCCTCCACCACGTCCTGTTACTGTTACATTAGAAATTGTGTCATATATTGGTGTATGTCTCTCACTATTAGGACTAGTACTAACAATACTAACATTACTGATATTCAAGTTTGTTTTTATATATAATTTTTGTCAGTTTAATTTATCATTCATTAGGTCATTAAGACAGAGAGATACTAGCAAATTTCACATTCAACTTTGTCTCTCGTTGATTTTCATGTTAATAGTATTTGTTGTTGGTATTGATAGAGTATCAGTGAGAGCTGGTTGTATAACAGTTGGTGTTCTCATTCATTACTTTGCTCTTGTATCATGGATGTGGATGGGAGCTGAGGCTGTACTAATGTTCCAGAAACTAGTCATTGTATTCACAAATTTAACATGGAAATATTTTCTGATTGTCTCTATAACATGCTGGGGTAAAGTAATTGTTTCAGCCGCAAAATAATAAAATTATCTTTAACTTTGTATTTTATAGGCCTTCCATTACTGCCTGTTGCAATAGTGCTGTCAGTAGATGTGGATCATTATATTACATTTTATGAACACACTGAAGAAGGATTGTAAGTTAACAAAGAGAGTAAACTTGTATTTATTATTTGCCATGTAGTTGCTTTCTGGGACAATTAAACATGTTCCTTACAGCTTTTTTTGTTCCTGTTATGATCATTCTTATACTTAATTCCATCATTTACATACTTGTTCTTTGTCTTCTTATTTTACATACTCTGAAGAAAAACAAACGGCTACAAAAATCAACAATGAAACTATCACAAGCTATCAAAATGTTACTCTCTTTTACTGGAATAATGCTCCTCTTTGGTTTGACATGGATATTTGCTGTGTTCACATTTACCTCTGAGCCTGGAGTCTCTTATACTGTGCAGTTCTTCTTTGCTTTCTTCAATGCTTTTCAAGGGTTCTTCATTTTTGTGTTTTTCATCGTGTTAAGTAACGATTCAAGAACAGCATGGAAATCCCTTTTGTGTCGATGCATGATGAACAATGAGCAACAAACATCAAAATATAACCTGTCTTCTTTGAATAGCAAAAAGAAGAGGTTTCCTAACTCTAATACTTATTCTTCATCAGAGACTGGTAATGAAAGGTGTCTTCCTTCTCTGTCTAAAGAAGACAATGTGTCAGCTAGTCAAGAGAAAAAGAGTGATGATTTGGATTTGGTACAACTCAAAGGAACTCATGAAAAATGTGATTCAACTTCTACACATGAATGCTCCTCACTTTGACCAAGTTGACATATATGATAGTGATGATGATGGCTTTGATAATTTAATATTTTTTTGGCTACACTTAATATTGCTGCATTTTTAGTTTGTTAATCTTCTTAAGAATAATTTTAGATTAATCATATCATAAAATCATTAGTATGCACAAGTCTAAAAATCCAAGCTTGTGAGCCATGCATGTACATATAAGCTGCTAACTTCATTTAAATTGCAAACATTACTTATCTTCATACATGATGTACATATGTACATATATAAAGTTGTAGATCTAGATGTATTTTGATTATCAAAAATTAATTCTTTTGTAAGTGCTCTTCTACTATATATACCATAGGTATCTGTTTTTATGGCTATTTTACTATAATGATTGATGTTAATTAATGGGGCACTATATTAGAAGGTATATTAATGGGGCACTTGAGAGTGGTGATACTTCGCCAAGACAAAGAGTCACTGTCTCTGGTAATTATTTGTATCACGACTAGTACTTGTGGATCTGTTGCCAACACTTAATTTTTATACTGCATAATAGAAATATCTTATACAGATCTACATAGCATCATCAGTATCGATCAGTATTGTACCAGGATCTATGATACAATCAGTGTCAAATGTGACATTTGTACCAGAATCTACTGTTGTAATGTCAGAAGTGATTTCTGTGCCTGAATCTGTGATGCAATCAACAGCTAGCCCATTGGGAAGTCCACTGAACTCTTCCATCAAATACTCAGAACTATTTTAACTTTGTTATTGGTCTTTCCATCTTCATTGTAGTATTACTGATTGTAGTGACAGGCCAAAGTGTCATTATTACTGTGCTTCATGTCAATCGGCATAATTCACAATAATTGATTAAATTAATTTTACACTGACTAGGTCCAAAAAAATTAATTTGTCAAATAAAGACAAAAATGAAGATATTCCAATGCAAACTTGTGAGCCACATGAGCTGCACAGGTTTTAACTTATTATATTGTTCTTTAACTTAAATGCATTTTGCTTATTAGAATTATAGACTCTATACTATTATTTTGGAATTCTTTAAGCTTAACTATGTATGCACATGATTGGCATTACAAAGCTTGGTTGATTCACCACTGACTGTTTGGAATAAAAATTTATAAAAATAGAGAAAACAAGACACAAGCTCAAAAAGTCTTTAAAATGAATGATTATTTCTAACACTATACTAAAAATGACACTCTTAAGTGGTACACTTCCATGCACCACCTCTACATATTAAAGGCAACTATCATCAAAATAAAGAGGATGACACAATTTCCAATGGCACTCCATCCTGAAGAAGGTGATCCAGAAGGTGATTGAGTAGGTGATTCAGTAGGTGAATCACGAGGTATATAGCAGTAGCCACTTGCAATTTTGTTAGGCAGTAGACACTCAGAAGGTTGGATACATCCCAGTGAGGTAGCATTACGTAGCAGAGTGCTGTTACAAGCATCACAATACTGAGGACCAGCAGCAGCACAACCTTTAGTACGAGCACAATCTGAATGACACTGACTAGGAATGCTTGAAACAGACGAAGGGATACTAGACACTCCATATAAACTAACTGAAATGTTACTCAAAACAGCAGATCCTCTATTTGAATTCCTCCAATTGATACTAACGGTCCATTGGCCATTAGGATTCTCACCCCAATGAAGAACACTTAGAAAAGACCAATTAGAGTAGCCAACAGTTGTCACAATGTCGTAAGGACGATTGAAAAGAAGAGTTGATGTTGAGTTCATTGGTGATGTTAAA